GTACACAATGGCTGTATTAATCGTAAGTTGGGACCTGACACATGGAAGTTAAGGACAACGTCTGCACTGTTACACACCTGATGGTATAAAGGGACTAAAAGGTGTTTGCACGTGAAACAACACACGTTAGGAGTTTAACATGGCATCATGATGTTGTCACAGCAGCTACAGAGCAGTGCAGTTGCACCCATGCTAGCTGCACAGCTCCTGCTGTTAACCGGAACATGTTACAAATAAACAACACAACAGCATTAGCCCGACGCGTCCAGTGCGTGCGACACGTTCACTAAACACGCGGTGTCTCGGTGCACAACACGCTGCACCACTCTGCACAATCCACCCGCAAACATTTGCAGTTAGCAGCGATGCTAATGCTAACGTCCTGGAGGCCCGGGCCGACCACACAGGCCTCCGCGGCCCCGGCTCGGCCAGGCTGCTGCGCCGCTCGGGGGGTAACGTCAGTTGGGTGTCGATGACGCGCAACAACCGCCGCCGGAAGCGGGGAAGAGACACCGGCACCGACACCGGGGGCCTTCGAGGCGAGCCCGGTTACACAAGCACCGGAGGCGCCGTCCGCCGCACCGGCATCATGAGGAGCTGCACCTCGCTTAGCTAACGTGCTAACAGCGGCTAGTGGCCCCCGACAAAAGATACACATTGAGCCGCTGGCCCATGTCCTGGAGCAGGTTGGCCGCCTGTTGCCTGTAGGACAGCTCCTTGTCCGGGTCGAGTCCCGCTCGCCGAGATGGGTTGTTGTCGATCTGCTGCCGGGTGTAGTACCATTTGTTATTACAGCTTGCGGGGAGAGAACGAAACGAAGCCGCCATCACTGAGAAGGACGAGAGTTTAAAATTTCCCTGCGTCACAGGAACATACGTCACAGCGAGGGGCGGGGCCGAGGCTGTTCGACTTCAATAACATGGGGGGGGGGGGGGGGGGGGGAGATGGATGGATAGAGAGAGAGAGAGAGACAGATGATTAGATGGACAGAGAGAGAGAGAGAGGGAGACAGAGGGAGACAGAGAGGGAGAGATGGTTAGAGAGAGATGGAGAGAGAGAGACAGATGGTTAGATGGTGAGAGAGATGGACAGAGAGAGAGAGAGACAGAGAGAGAGATGGATAGTGAGGGAGACAGGGAGATGGACAGAGAGAGAGAGAGATTGATAGAAAGGGAGACAGAGAGAGAGAGAGAGAGAGAGAGAGACAGACAGAAATAGATGGATAGATAGATAGATAGATAGATGATAGAGAGAGATAGAGGGAGACAGATCGATAGATAGATAGATGGATGGAGAGAGATAGAGAGAGTGACAGATGGATAGAGAGGGAGACAGAGAGAAAGAGATGTATAAAGAGAGAGAGAGACAAGATGCTGAACCACGAGTGGCCCCTCATAGATGTTGAACGCACTAATTGGAAGTGACTTTGGATGAAGGCGTCAGCTAAATGACAAGTAAAAGAGAGAGAGAGGAAGAGACAGATGGACGGAGGACAGACGGACAGATGGACGTAGAAGACAAGATGAATATAGTAAAATCAGGCTCAGACTGAAACACGTTTCACTTTGAAAACATGATTTAGAGAATCTGACATAACAAAATAGTGAGTGTGAGTCAGAGAGTGTGTTGTGTTGCCAGACTGTGCTACAGAGTAAGTCATAATAATAAACCTCTGTATGTGTATTTGTATGGTCCACAATATTTTTACTGAATATTTGTATGACCCATTTTCATAAACCACATTTTACCTCTGGTCTTCACAAGGTGCAACAACAACACACAAGTAAATATTGGTTATACAACTTGCTGCTGCCTGTCCACTACAGGTTTGTATATCATGTTAATGTCTTTAATGGTGTTTAATTCAGGGTGTGTGATTGATCAAAGTTTGCCTGTAGATATAGTTTTTATCTTAAAACATTGTTTATCACACGAGGGACAATCAGACGTATAAATATCTGAGATAATCAATCAAGATCATTCTTCTTCTTCTTTGCTGTTAAAAAAAAAAGAGAAATAAACGAAGCAGATTTCAAAAAAATCAAAAACAATTTATTTTTTAAATCACAAAATGTTAGAAAATGGACAGATAACTGAAGCAGTGTATCAATGGAACCCCAAAAAAGAAAACAAGTAAATAACCAGTTGTTGGACAAACCAAAAGTACAATTGAATACAAACAAGCGAGTTTTATCATTTAAATTGAAAATTAGAATAATTAACTGCACAAACTCTGATAAAAACACACACTTCCAATGTCGTATTTCTTCATTATTCAGTTTCACAGACGTAATATTTGAATAAATACTATTTCTGCGGTCAAAAATTCCAATTCATCTTGTGACGCCATGTTGGTTTAAGCATGTGCACAAAGCAAGAGATGCTAGTTTCTATTCCTTTCCTTGCTGAACTGTAAACTCATCCCTGGTTTCTGATCTTAACTGGACGGATTACAGTTGAACAAACATCTGAATTTCATTTCATTGGGCCCTGGCAGCTGAACCCGTCTCCGAACGAGACACTTCCTGCAGCTGCTTCATAAAATGCGTCCACCGTCCCTCAACTCCCTCCCCCCCCACCCTCAGATCTTCAGCTTCTTTCACGAAATTACAAGTGAATTTTAGTTGCGGATCATAAAGTAGCTAATTACCTGAGATTTGGAGAATATACTATTTTTAAATCTTATTTGTTAAATGGCTAGAAAAACGTTAACGTCTACATCACACAGGAACTCACACCCACAACTCCAACATGAAAAACGGGGGAAATCGAAAATAAGCGGCTACCAGGACAAGTTATGTTGCTACATTAAGTAATGAACGTGAAAAACAAATAAAAACAATTTATAATATCCCACTGACTTGATGCTCGTCGACATTTTCTGTTTGTTTTCCAAACCATTGAAATGATCTAACTCACCCAAAAGCTTTTGTATTGAACTATACTTTTGATTTACAGGAATCCTATTAGTGACGTTTGTCGTCCTCGGGAGTCTCTGTTGTACAGCCATGAAAATGCTTTACAAAAACAGCCATCTCTAAAACTCTATTTACACTTTCCCAAATCGTTCGCTGCGCTTCATTTTCTTTGCCTGCAAGAAAAACAAAGAGAAAACATGGACTTTCGTTATCTTATGTTTCTTTTTCATTCCCTCGGATGTTTCTGTAATAAAATGTAAGTGCAGTTAAATGCAACGGATTCAAGGAGAGATTAAAACGTTACCTCAGCATCGTCTGCGCCGCCTGTACCTGCACTCGCAGAGATCCCAAACCTCTCCTTCCTTTTCTTCAGCTTTTCATCCTCTTCAATCTAGAAAAACAAGTTGGATTGAATCTGATGCCAACTTTAGACTCAAGGGCAGATAAATGTAATATTTTATATTACAAGTCCCTTAATTTCCATCTATGGCACTTGGAAGTGTGAGTGTAACGGTTAATTGTGAGAATATAACATTACGACACAGTTTGGGAGCGATTAAAAAAGGAAATGGAGAAAGTAAGTGCTCACCGAGGAATTTATCATTTTAATTAACCAGATAATTTTGCAAAATGAGGAAAAACAACACGTAGTGAAGTTGCAACATGAATCTGTTTTAGATCAACTATATAAGTTCAAGTTTACCTTTTGTGAGATGGAGGAAACGGTAATGCCAAATCTTTCCGCTCTCTTCTTCAGTTGTTCAGCGCTCACCTTTGAGAGACACAAGAACAATCCACTTAGAGTTCTGTCATTTAACGAAGGAATAAATAAATGCGTAAATACTTTTACTACAACACTTACAGGAGCTTTACTGTTTGCGACGGCGCCTGTTTGGGAGAAAGATGAATGGATTTGTGGGAGAGAGAGAGAGAAACAGCAGATATGTTAAATGTTGATACGTAGCATTGCAGCAGTGAGTGAGTTCAGTGAAAGAGGGGCACTACTGACCTGCAGCGGGACTGGAAGCCTCTGTGGACGAACCAAACCTGAGGAAAAACAAATTCCACCATGATATTTATGGTATAAATCAAACCTATAACAACAGGTTATTGTTTCTATCAGTTATGACGACATGGACACACTAAGTTAGGAAGAGAATCCTGAAACTTAGTGTGAAGTGATGAGGAAGAAACATGAAAATTAAGAGGGTTTATAAACTGTGATATTTCAGACAAACTGTTTGAGAAATAATGTTAAATTAGTTTTTTCTGATCCGATGACATTCATTGTTGTCTTTACTCTTAGAAATCAAGACTATAAAGATAAATATAAGACCTGAATGGTCGGAGCCTTACCTCGCGGCGCGTATGGCCTTCTTGCTTTCAGCTGTCGCAGGCATGTTGAAACGTTCAGCTCTCTTCTGTAGCCTCTGCTCAACAAAAGGAAGCATTTTAAAATATAAACTTGTCCTGCTGATGATTACTTGCAACTAGTTAAGACACAATATTTGAATCTGTGGTTGAACCAAAGTTACACTGTACAGAAACTCCAGCCGGATTTTAGAGTGAGATCTATTTAAAACAACACTGTGTAACTTCTGCTGAGCAACAGTGAACTCCAGATTGGGTCAACAGTTGGTCTTTCACGTATGAGGAAACAGACGGGAAACTGTCCGGGTCAGACTCGTTCTTTATCGCCCTTATCACCGAAAGCTCTCGAATCTCTTCGTCTTTCCAAGTTGACGTTTTAATCTACGTCTTATACGTGCATGGAAACATTCTTCTTGTTCCAAGTCAGTTTATCACCAAAATCATTTTGAAGCTGCTGCTTTAAAGGTAAAAAAAAAACTTCCACATGTGACAATCTTTATTTTAAAATATACAATCACATTAGAGTCATACATACTTCGCTGGAGGTTGATGGAGGAGCTATTTTCACCACCTTCTTTTCAGTGGGTCTGTAAGAAAAGATGTTAAGAGTTAAAATAACCAAAGACGTATAAATAAAACCTGATTATCAATACCTCCTCAAACGTGAGGCCACATACACACAAGTTTGAATTAGCTGTAGAGGATGCTAATTGCCAAGCGCAACGTCATATTTTGTTTGTTCGTTTGTTAAGAAGTAAAATAAAACTTACGTCTCACAGTCGACAGGTTCGGACTCCTTGTCGACGCTCACATTGTTGACAGTCTCCGCTTTAGCGAAGTCCTGAAAATAGAAACAGAAACTTTACTCACGAGGCTCAAACATGGTCTGTGAGTGACAGTGTAGAGAACATGGAATAAAAACCACCACGTTACCTCGGTGTCCTCCGCCAGCACATCATCGACGTCTACGTCTTCCTCTGGTGTTTGAAATATGAGATGAAGGAATTTGCGCCCGCCAAAGGGAAAGATGGAGCAGATGATGAAATCAGTGGCGTTATCACACGAAGGAGGGTAAAAAGATGTTTTGTGTTTTTAACGTGTAATATGAGCAACAGTGTGCGTCCTCACCGTGCTCCTCCAGGTAGGCTTGAAGTCGAGCGATGAGCTCCCCTTTGTTTCCCTTGGTGTCGAGACCACGGGCCTCGCACTCCTGCCTCAGCTCAGCAAGCTACAGCGGCGAGAGAACAATTAACCAAACAAGCAGCAGCAGAACCAGACACCARGACGTGAAACACAACAAGACAACAGCGAACACGTTCTCCTCCTTCCTGTCAACGCTTTTTGTTCGGGACAGATTTTAGGATTTATCAAAAGTATTTTACTGTAAACATATTCTGGGGGAAATTCTTGCTTAGATTCCCTCTCGTGTCTCAACTGAAGTTTAGAAAACGTTTTGAAGTTGAATTTGATAACTGAATCTTCTACAGGGGTAAAGTCAGCAGCTCTGCACACTGAGTGAGGTGATGTCACCGGGCGGTTCACGGAGGTTGTGGGTTGAAAACCTGGCTGCAGCTCAGTAACTCTGTTTACGTGAGTTCAAACAAACTGCGTCATGAAAACCTCTTCCTCCTCTTTTCTTATTTCCGCCTCCTGCAGATGGAGTCCGACCCGCTGCAGCTCGACCAGCTTCAGTTGTTGTCTTTCTGTCCGCGGCGGCTGTGACACGTGTGTTCGGTCAATAAAGCTCGTCGAACATTTACCGGCACCGTTCGAGAGCATGGCGAGAAGTGGCGGGAAAGCCTCGAGACAACAGGAAGCACAAGTGAACTTTGAATAAATCCCATTAGATCTGATTCTCTCCGCTCACACCAGCTTCCTGGGCGCTAAGTGTTTTAGCTGTTAGCTCCGCAGCTGAATGAACAACGTGAACATCCGCCGGTTCTTATTCTTCACACGTCTCACGCGGGAAACGTGACGTTCGTCCGCGGCTTCGCTCTCAGGTCAACGAGCAAACAACGTGCACGACGAGTTCTCTGCGAACGAACGCAGCCGGTTGCGGTAATTTAACGCAAATTTGAGTCGGTACGAACCTTCAGCTTCAGCAGCTCTGATACTTCGGCCATCTTTCTTTGTTGTGGTGTCACTTCCTGGTATCAAAGAGCAGCAGCGCGCCTTCTGAGCGCCGACGGCTGCTCACAGCGCCGCCCGCAGGACAGACTGACACACTGCAGGCCCCACACCGAGGAGACAGACACTCTGGAGAACAGTTTATTTAAAACATGTGAAAGGAAACATGTCAGAGAAAACATGTGAGAGAAAACATGTCAGAGAAAACATGTGAGAGAAAACATGTCAGAGAAAACATGTCAAAGAAAACATGTGAGAGAAAACATGCAAGAAAAAACACGTCAGAGAAAACATGTCAGAGAAAACATGTGAGAGAAAACATGTCAGAGAAAACATGCGAAACATGTCAGAGAAAACATGTCAGAGAAAACATGTCAGAGAAAACATGTCAGAGAAAACATGCAAGAGAAAACATGTCAGAGAAAACATGTCAGCAGATTCACAAACTACATCGACACTTAATTCACAAGTACAGGAAGTTTTCAGACTCTGCACTCAGGCAGTTTTATTTATTGAGCACTTTCAAACGCAGGAGACGTTAAGAGCAACGCAGAGACAAAATGAAAAGGACGTGACGTTAAAATCTGAAAGTTTACAGCCCAAAACATGTCTCAAGCAAAATAAAAGACTGAAAAGTTTAGAATAAACGAAGCAAAGCGATTGAAAGACAAACAAAAAAAGAGTTGAAAGACGATCCAGAGCGATGAGCAGGTCGGCTGGGGGACACGAGGTCATGAGTGTGTAGAGAGGTCACGGAGGTCATCTTGTTTCCATTGGAACTCTTCTATGTTGCATCGTAATGCACATTATTTTTTATTTTACACTAGTTTTATTTTATACACTTACCTATATCTCTACTTAATAATAATAATAATAATAATATATTTTACAGCGGGCGACTATGGCGTAGAGGTAGAGTAGTTCAAGTAAGCAGTTCAATCCCCATCTCCTCCATTCTGTGAGCTGAAGTGTCCTTTAGCAAGATACTGAACCCCAAAGTGACGCTGTGAGTGATGTGAGATAGAGAAAGATAAAGTAAAGATAAAATCACCAAATGCAATAAGAGTAAAAGAACATTTTAATCTTTGATTTAAAGGAAACTACTCACTGAGAAAGTTCCACAGCCTTTTTCTATTCAGTTGGATTTTCTTTGTCTGTTTTTATTTCTATTCTTGGCTCGAGCGGCTGTATTCATAAAACTATTAATAATAATACTAATACTTATTACAATCGTAATAAAGTTTATTTGTTCAAAACAAAGTTACAAGGTTCTCCACCAGTTAAAAATGTAATATTGAAGGCAACAAAAGGAAACAGTTCAAAAGTACTAAAATTAATTTAAAAATTCTGATCTTGTTGAAATCAAGGACTGATCGAGGACTGACATGTATGATTCCAGTCTCACATGTTAACACGCCGTGTGAGGTCATACAGTACATGTTAGAGATGAGGCCCGAGGCGAGTTACCAGGTTCATGGTCAAACACTGATGAAACAGGCCTGAGCAGGATTTCTCCTGTGAATGCTGACATTGTTTTAAAAAGAGGTTTAAACAGTGTCACAGTTTGGCATATGATATGGAGACAAAAAAAATTTAAAGTTTCCACAAAGTGACTCTGTGGGTGGAGGGACAAAGCCGGATGAATTTAGGGAGTCACAAGTGCTTCAATAATCCTCATTATCGTTGCATTCCTCCAGCTTTTTTTCCTCCTGAGCACAGAGTCTCTGTGTGACCTATTGTTGGAGTGACACAGAAACCAACAACGGCCTCTTACATGTCGATATTTCAAATACTTTCAAACTTGAGCTTGGTGTATTTGCAGATAATATAATTCAATGTGGATTTTGACACCAGAGAATGATCAGGAGCGACTCGAACCTCAGAGTAAATCCACAAATAATTGGGAACAATGAGAGACGCAGCCCAAAATGGGTCAGGTGACTTCAGCAGAGATTCAGGCGACCTCTCATATCGTACCTGACGGCAGACGCCTCGTGAATGAATGACTCAGATGTCATACGTTTGTGTTGCAGGAGCTTTAAGTCATTTGATAAATGCATTTTTATCAGTTGATTATTGTAATATGTCCAAATTAGCCCCGTAAAAATAAAAATAATATCATATATTGACTCACATGCAGATCAAAACTCCTCTTTCATACAATGATGTGGATCAAGTAGAAATATTAAGAGTCTTAATTTAAGTAAAATGATCAACGGCATAAAATTATCCCAAAAAAGTACAGAAATTATAAAGTAAAAGTTTTTTATATTGCATATACAGTAAATACTTGTGGCTTAATGCCTCATTATTAATGATCCAATGATGAACTGTATAATACTGTATCAGTCATCTGAGGAAGAATGTTCATTTAAAATGTATTTATCTATTTATTTTAATTTATTTACTTAATGAACGAGTGTAAACGACAGAATTTGACATTTGTAAATCAAGGTGCAGCTGTTTGTCTGAATTCTTTTTAATTTGAATTTAACTGTGATTGAAAAACAAAATTCACACGGTCGTACACAATATGAACAATGTTGGAAGCACTGTTATAAATCCACCTGTTCTTAATACATGAGATTACACCTGTGCACGTGCAGGATGTCGATTTAACCTGTATTTATTGGATCAGGTCACGCACACTCCTGCAGGACCTGTGATCTGCTTCATGCAAAAGTCCACGAGGAATGTTTGACAGTGTGATTAAGTTGGAGCTGTAATCTCCAAGACGTGCTTTTACTGTAAATGCACCATCAGAGCAGGTTGCCCTAAATCTGAGTGAAGGAGGAGCGAGGGGCTGCAGGGCGTCTCCTCTGCTAATGCACCAGAGAGTTCATAAGGACACTTCTCCTGCTGCCCTCAGCTCACTCACAGGATTTTTCACAGGCGGACTGACGATGAGGACGCTCACCGGACTGCTGGTGCTGCTGGCAGCAGCTTCACACGCTGTGGCGAGTAAGTAGAGATGATGTGTTTCTGCAACAGAATATTTTAGGTGCAGAGATTAATCCAGACTCTGTCGTAAACCGGTGAAGAGAATGTGTTTGAAGCTCGGTGTCGAGTAGATGTCTTGTTTCATTCACATATAAATCTTCAAGAAGGTAAAAACCTCCTCCACAAGACATCATCTAATCAAGCATCATGTCTCTCCTCACAGGGACGTTAATCCTTGTTTAGTTGTAAATCTTGATTTCAAACGAGCTCAGATTTAAAATATCTGTGTCCAGTCTGAGACGTTTTCTTCCCATGACCTTTTTACTCAACCACGCATGAATGTAAACCACAGAATTTGACCTTTGGACATCAACGTGCAGCTATTTGTCTTAATCCTTTGTTTTTTTTACTTTTCTTCAAATCCGGCTGAAAAACAAAACTGTTCAAAGTGATGATTTAATAAATCTCACCTGATTGCACTTTAATATTCTGGAGAATGTGAGATAAAAAACAAACGTACATTTCATCTCTGATATATTTCTGAATCAATGATCATTAATCAAATTCGAAATCTGATTTAAAAAACAGCTTTGTGATATCAGCACATGTGAGCTTTCATCTGCAGCTGTAATGATGTTTAATCCAAATTCATCTTTAACAATGTTAATCTGTGATAAAACACACACACACACACACACACACACACACACACACACACACGCACACACTCTCAGCTGAGCATCACATGAGGGGGATTGTGGGGATTTGAGATTATTATTATATAAAACTCCTTCATTTGGACACAAACACTCACCTTTACCTTTTAGCAGATGACTGACGGTGAGAAGTTAATATGACATAAAAATATAATCGTTGAATGTTTTCACATGTTCCACTTTTTAAAACTTTAAAAACAACAGAGTTCATGAAAAGTTTCATTAAAATGTGGGTTGCGTCATAATGAACATAGAATATTGTCTCCGGTCGTTTGTCTTTTACGGCAGAAGAAAAATAAAAAAACATATTTCATGATAATTTCACAGGAAGTTTCTAGAGAAAATCTCTGATAGATTTAAATCTTTATTGAAAACAAAACAAATAAAAACGAATATTTTAGACATTGAAGTCTTGAGACTATATGAATGATATGTTATAAACGTAAGTTATGACATTTCTGACTGATGTAGTGTAAAAAGAAATGTTTTGAGCTGTGTGAATTTTCTGTTTTCAACATAATAAATGTGATCTTGATATTTTTTTAGAACCGAAAAACCGTTTCACTCGCTATCCATCATGGAACACTAAGATGTACCCAATCTGGAAAGATACAGACCCACGGTACAGAGACGCCTGGAAAGGTATTTATGTTGACATGATCAAACTGTTCTCCTTTCACTTTGTGTGATTCACAGTCAGACGAGCTCGGTGTTCACCTGTCGTCTCTTGCAGGTGGACGAGTGAGCTTCAATGTCGCCAATGATTCTCCGACTCTGACCGGAGCCAAAGTGACCTTCAGCATCGACCTGGAGTTCCCTCACAACCAGAGGGTGCAGCCTGACGGAGACGTCGTCTGGGCTGAGGACTGCACGGTCAATGGTAACACAACGTGCACACGCAACAGTGGAGCGCCGTTTACACGGTTCACCAGGTTATTTCCCTGGATCATTGAACTCTGGCTCAGCTCGTACAAGTATTGGATGCAGTGAAATATCATTTGGATTTGTTAAAACAAATAAATACAGAGGTGAATATGTAAAGAAAATACAATAATACAAAAACAATGAAATTACAGACACAAAATGAATGTTAAAATATAATAATGAAGTCCTGAGAGGTGTGTGACTGCATTAGAACAGGAGAACTTATAGTATTAACAGTATATAAATATCTGTCTAACTCTATATTAGTCACAGTCTCTGACACATACACTGCTGCTGCTGCAGGAACTAAACACCACGAGTCCGAGCCGGTGTACCCGACGCAGAGCACGGACTGGGAGGCTGTTTTTCCTGACGGGTCGCCCGTTGAGAAGGACAAGAAGCCGGCCTACGTGTTTGTCTGGAAGACCTGGGGTGAGTGGAGCTGCCGTCTCGTGTTAACGTCTCTTCGGAGGGTCAGAGAGGTTCTCACCACACATGCCGTGACCTGAAAATGTGACCTTGGACGGATTCCACATGAGCTTCACCATCACATGAGCAGATTATGTCACATTTGTAGAGAGTTGAGTTATAAAAGATGACAAAGTTACTCGGAAACCGCATTTATTTAAAGTGAGGCAGCTGTGAAATTAAGTTTAGTTTAATTCACCTGACACACTGATCCGTGGTGTAGAGGGAGTAGAGCGACTCTCAGGTGTGGCTCTGGTTGCTCTTGGACAGGTCAGTACTGGCAGGTGGCAGACGGCCCCTCCTCCTCTCTGACCATCGGTACAGACGACATCCCACTGGGCTCCTACACCATGGACATCGTTATCTACCACTACCGGAGCAAGGAGAGGTTCATTCCTCTGGGATACGCCTCCACTCAGTTCTCCATCACTGGTTGGTTTGTCTAAAATCAAAGATCTTTTCAAGCGTAACAACCTTAGACACAATCTCCAACCGCCGCCCATCCATTTGTTGACGTCCCTGCTTGTTGTAGATCAAATCCCTTTCGCCGTCTCCCTGGACCAAGTCAACGACGCTGTGGCCGCGGACCTGCGCTTCATCCAGAACAGGGCGATCGCCTTCACCGTCACCCTCCACGACCCCAGCGAGTACCTCAGCAGTGCGGACATCACCTTCAACTGGGACTTCGGGGATGAAAGTGGAGCCCTCATATCCAGAGAGCTCACCGTCACCCACACCTACATCAGCTCCGGCTCCTTCAAGCCTCAGGTGGTGATCCAGGCGGTCATCCCAGACAAGGCCTGCGATCCGCCAGTAGATATCTCGACCAAGGCCCCTGGTCCACACACTGAACTGGGAACCACAGGTGAGGCACAGATATTTACAGACCTACTGGTTTCATGGGCATTGTCGCAGCTGATCCCTTTTCCTTTGCTCCTCGTCGCTGAACGTGCACATTAATCATAAAACTGTCGGAGTTGATTTTAGGAGCTTGTGACAGAACATGAGGTTTGCGAGTGAGAAAACAGAAACATCTTAAAACTACTAAAATTCTGTTAATTGGTTGATAAGTAATGACGTCAGCACTATTCGATTTGTTGTTTCGGACAAAGATGAACACGATATCAAACTTGTTCTCCAACTGTTGGCAAGAAGGTTGAACACGTAGATATTTCACAACACGTCAGAGCATTTTCAAAGCTCGAATCGTTCACAATGTTAAAAATATAATCACGGACCTGACTCGACCTCCTCTGTACGAGCAGCGAGAGCTCCTGCTCTGCCGTCTGCTCTCCCTCCACTGGTTTCCACCAAGGCCACCGGTCTGAATGTCAACATGGCGCCTTCAGACACAGAGGAGGACAACACCGAGGACGAGGCCTCCACTGCGTCCGTCGCCCAGCCCGTCCAGGAAACACAGGCAGTGACAAAGACCCCCTCCCCCGTCAACCACTCTGGTGGAAGGTCTGGCCTCGCAGCAGGTGAGTGTCTCTGAGTCACAACAGATGTGGAATGTGTCCAGTGAGAAATACTGAGCTGCCACCAGAGGAACCGGTTTTCTAAGATGCAAATATAATGCAAACATTTCATCGTGTGGCAGAAGCAGGTTGACTTCACGACGAATTATCGTTTGGTTTCTGATTTACACGTCGGCACCGTTTCTATTTTCAAAGTACTAAAGGACTAAGAAGCAGAAACTAAATGTATTGTCATTATTAAATATTTTCACTGCTGTTAAAATAATTGATCTATTCATGAAGAATTTTGTGACAACACTGAATAAAGTTTATAATGTTGAAGACGGTGAAAAGAAATTCCTGATTTTAATGTGCTCCAGAATTTATTGGGATCTTCTCTGACTCGTTTCCACCAAGTTTATAATAATAATAATGATAATTTATATCTGACGATGCTGATTGTCCTCGTCAGGTGAGAAGCGGACGCTGACAGGCCGAGCTGCAGTGGTGGTCGTTGCTAAGAGAGAAGCTGACGACAAACCCTCCAACGACGACTGTGTGATTTATCGCTACGGCTCCTTCTGCACCGGCATCGAAGTGTTTGGTGAGTTACCTTCACCTGCGTCCATCACAGAGTGACACAACAAAAGTGTCCCTGTCCCTGTCCCTCTGTGACCCTTGTCTTTTTTTTATTTATTTCCAGAGGGCATTGAAACAGTAGAGATAACACAAGTGAACAACGCTGTGATGGCAACACCAGAAACGGAGAAAAAGGCTTTGGACATCACCGTCACCTGCCAGGGAAGGTGAGCGCACCCCCCCCACACACTCTGCGTCTTCAAATAATAATCCACTCCTTGTTGATTTGGACTCACTTGTCTCCTGTCCCTCTCTGCAGCCTTCCTAAAGAGGTGTGCAGTGTGATTCTGGACGCAGAGTGTCTGAAGCCGATCCACTCGGTGTGCAACACGGTGGAGCCTTCCAACCAGTGTCAGCTGGTGCTGCGGCACTTCTTCAATGGCTCCGGTGTCTACTGCATCAACGTGTCCATGACCAATGACGTCAGTTTAGCCGTCACCAGTGCCAGGTTCAACGTTGAGATGGGTACGCAGCAGCAGCGGCACCTCACAGCAGCTCTCGGGTGGTTTGGTGGCAATAGATTTGACTGGAATCTTTGTTTCAGGTCCTGGTGTTTCCTCCTCTGGTGCAGTTGCCATGTTGCTGGGTGTGCTGGTTCTGGTTCTGGCAGCAGGAATAGTGGCGTATTCCTACAAGTAAGTTACCTGATGTTGGTTTCTGCTCCATATGCTGTCGTGCCTGTCATAAGTCGAACTCCTCTACCGGCCATGGGAAGGGAATTCATAAGTTTACCTGTATTTAACAAAATATTTCTGCTTCTCCTTTACCAGGCGCTTCAAGTCCTACCGGCCTCTGAGGGAAGACTCGCTCACGTCCGGAGGCCAGCAGCCCGACGCGACTCAGAGCTGCTCCGGAGCCTCCATCTTCTGGAGCCTCCTGAACAGACGAGGAGCCGTCGACAACTGCCCCCTGCTGCAGGACAGGCCGGTGTGAACCATCACCCGCCTCACACAACCACACAGCAACACCAAGCAGCAGCTGATTTACAGGTTACAGATATCTGGAATGTCTTTTTTTTATACTTTTTTTAAAAACATGTTTTCTAAAATGAAACACTTCACAAGCGTGTGACTTTTAGCTTTGAATCATAAATGAACTGGAGTTGTACTTTAGACGTACCGTGATCTTTGGTAATAAAAGTGTCTGCTTCAATTTGTTGAGTTTTCTGTCGTATCCCTCGTGTGCAGCTCTATCTTAGATTTCTACATTTCTCTGGAAGCGTTTCCTCACTCCTCCTGAGGGTGAAGGATGTGGCACCTCGTTAATGAGGAAAGAGGAAGTGTGATTTGTCAAACTGAACTTTACAAATAAAATGGTATCATGTTTTTATGACTTCAAATGAAATAGTAGAGCATCTGATTGGTTTTAACAAATATTAATGGTCTGTATTTATATAGTGCTTTTCTCGTCTTGATGACCAAGTCACACACACATTCATACAGTTCACCTAAGGGCAGCGCTTCTTCTAAGGACATGCAGATGGGGAAGACTGGGATTGAGCCGCCGACCTTCTGGTCAGAGGACGACCGCTCTACCCCTGAAGAGAAAGAAAAGACTTAAATGATTGAAACCGAGTTGACTGTTGTGTTTATTCAAACTAAATATCTTGTGTACTTGAACAAATCGTAATGAAATAAGCAAAACAACTTCACATGTCACAGAAACTTTATTTTGAACAGAGCCAAACATTGACATTTTCAGGATTCTGAGCAGCCAAACTGGTAATTGATCAAACATTTCTGTTTGGAATTCTTCCAGGAACACATCGCAATCAATTTATTGATTCATTTTTAATGCCTGCGTGTCCCTTTTAATACTCCTCTCCTTCCTCCTCTCCCTCACCCTCGATGGAGTCGACTCCGACCTCCTCGTAATCTTTCTCCAGAGCTGCCATGTCCTCTCTGGCCTCGGAGAACTCTCCCTCCTCCATACCCTCACCCACGTACCAGTGAACGAAGGCCCTCTTGGCGTACATGAGATCAAACTTGTGGTCAAGGCGAGCCCAGGCCTCAGCGATGGCAGTGGTGTTGCTCAGCATGCACACGGCCCTCTGGACCTTGGCCAGGTCTCCACCAGGAACCACAGTGGGGGGCTGGTAGTTGATGCCGACCTTGAAACCAGTGGGACACCAGTCCACAAACTGGATGGTGCGTTTGGTCTTTATGGTGGCGATGGCGGCGTTGACATCTTTGGGCACCACATCTCCACGGAACAGGAGGCAGCAGGCCATGTACTTACCGTGACGAGGGTCACATTTCACCATCTGGTTGGCCGGCTCAAAGCAGGCGTTTGTGATCTCAGACACGGAGAGCTGCTCATGGTAGGCCTTCTCAGCAGAGATGACGGGAGCGTAGGTGGCCAGAGGGAAGTGGATACGGGGATATGGCACCAAGTTGGTCTGGAACTCTGTCAGATCGACATTGAGGGCACCATCGAAACGGAGGGAAGCAGTGATGGAGGACACGATCTGACTGATGAGCCTGTTCAGGTTGGTGTAGGTGGGACGCTCGATATCGAGGTTCCTGCGGCAGATATCGTAGATGGCCTCGTTATCTACCATGAAGGCACAGTCAGAGTGCTCCAGGGTGGTGTGGGTGGTCAGGATGGAGTTGTAGGGCTCCACCACAGCGGTGGACACCTGGGGGGCGGGGTAGATGGAGAACTCCAGCTTGGACTTCTTGCCGTAGTCGACGGACAGACGCTCCATCAGCAGGGAGGTGAAGCCAGAGCCGGTGCCTCCTCCGAAGCTGTGGAAAACCAGGAAGCCCTG